GGGGGGGGGGGGGGGGTCTCTTTCTCATGCAGAAAGCTATTTACAGGGAAATGCGATGGATTAGCTGAAGCTCATCAATAGGGAGCGCCTGCTCACCCGGTGCTTTACAGACTGGCCACCAATCGAAGGGAATTTCAATATTTACCTACATCCTCGTTTTGTTAGTTGCAGTTAAGCAAACACGCAATTCGCTAATTCATGTTAGTGGATGAGTGAGACTTGTTTAAGTATTTTCCTTCCACGCTAATGATGATTCATTTGAATGACTTTAGGTGTGAATTTTGACTCACGGGCCATTGAATACAGATAAACAACAGGGTGGTTCGTTTTAACATCTATCCATGAGCCAATTTAACGATCATATTACAATTACATTAACTGGGCAGATAGTTTTGTTCTGACCTATTGTACATATGTTATTTGTCTGTCACACACACACACTCCTGCAAACAGAAGTATATAAAATGTATTCACACACTGTTGGAGTGAGATGAAATACACAAGGATTAAAGGCACCCAACACCACAAAGTCACATCACAAAATGCCAAAACAGTCAAAAGTGCATTCATCAGTCTACATGAATTAAATCGATCGTTTCATGTATTTGTTTTATACAGTGTGGCTCCGATGGCATTAGTACCCCTGCAGAGGCAGATCATGAGGAATTGTTTAGTGTTAGGCTGTACCGGAGATCTTTGAGTTCTGAAAATCATTTTCGAGCTGAGGTTAACAATTGTTTAGGTCCTTTTGATGAAGGAAAGCAAAGCAACAAATTACTGAAAAAGTCTAGTTTGTGTTGGCCGCTACAAAGTATTAACTTAAGGGGGCTGAATAATTTTGCACGCCCAATTTTTCAGTTTTTTATTTGTTAAAAACGTTTGAAATATCCAATAAATTTCGTTCCACTTCATGATTGTGTCCCACTTGTTGTTGATTCTTCACAAAAAATTACAGTTTTATATCTTTATGTTTGAAGCCTGAAATGTGGCAAAAGGTCGCAAAGTTCAAGGGGGCCGAATACTTTCGCAAGGCACTGTAAGATACAGCTGCTTTGTGCTTTTCTTTTCGGGGGTGCGGGTCGCTCTGCCAAATGAATGGTAGGGGAAACACGGAAGACACACTGACTTTGCTTTTATAAATGACACAATGCAAATATACTCATCAATTGGGTATTTTGTGCACACAACACCAAAAGTGTTGCCACAGACCCACACACAACTGATCCACTAACACTAGTGCCAAGACATTGCAACCCATCTGGTGTGTCCGGGGATTTCTCATGTACAAAGATGCTGCAGATACAGTAACAAGTAACAAGATGAAAGTGTTACCGGACTATAATTTAATATCTTCATGATGGACTCTGAGACAAAAACTATTTTCCCACGATCACAGCCCACTACAAACAGGAACCCATCTGCAGCCTGCACAACAAAGAAACATGAAGGAAAATAGGGGCCACTATGATGACATGGTCAAAACAAAAGTAGGAGGCCACTGAGTCAATTTTTATATTTTATTTAGGTTTTTTTTTTCTACTAAAAAGAAGCATTCGTAAAATTTTGTGCATTATACTACTTTCTGCTGTTGACAATCAACTATAAGGACAACTACCTACACAGTGCTTAAAACACAAATTCAATTCATGTTAAGAGTTATGAGCAAAAAAATAAAAAATAAACCACAAAGCCAAAACAGTCTTTTCACTTTTTGTCTGCGTTTTTTACATTTCTGATTAAAACAACTCTCAGGTTTACAGCCTGGCTGGTACAGTAGCTGTTGAAGGAGATGTTTAAGACATCCTGAAGTGACTGCTAGGATCACTTAGCAGATGACTGTAATTTTCTTAAAAACTAAAAAGGTATTCCATTATTGTGACTGTTTCTCAAATTGTGGGCATTTAATTGTCAATGGTATGTTTACCTTGAGGATGAGGTGTTTGAGCTCCTCATCAGGAAGGAATGAAGGCTTGTAGTTAGCTTCAGAAAAGGAGCTCGCTGAACCTGAAAATACAGACAAAAGTACACAGCCAGTACAATGTCATTAAAACATTATATTTAGACATTAGATTTGAAAGATATTTTTAATTAAATCCTGGATCTCATCAGAATTTAAAGCTGCCAGTTCTACTGATTATATATTAGTTTTCCTTTTCAGTGAAGGAAAACCAGATTATACAGTACGTGTTCTCACTTTCAGTTTAACCTCCAAATGAAATGGGCTAAGTAAAGATGGCTACGACAAGGACGACAAAGTCAGGGCAGACTACTTTTAACACCACTTGACTGACTTGGTACCTTTGAGAGATCTGAGGTGCTGCACAGCCATTCTGAGCACAGTGAGTTTGTCCAGCTTACGAGACATGGGGTTACAAGTGGGGATCATGGCTGACAGCTTGTCAATAAGGTTGTTCATTTTGTCCCGTCTCCTCTTCTCAATTTGTCTGTGTGGTTCCCTGCAGAAAAACAAATTAAGGAATGCTTGTAAATGAGTTTCTGCTTTGTCTCTACAGACCATCTGCACCTGTGAAATGTAGCAAATTCAAAATTTTTTGAGGTTCTCAAGGATGTACATTTTAATATGATAATATGACAAAAACACAAATGTTATACACTTGGTGGTGTCAAATATTACCTACCTGGAGCATTTAATTTTGACATGTTGGTCCTCTCCATCTGACCTGTAGAGAAGAAAACCTTGATCATCATATGTATTTACGTATACTGATGCCAGGCAACAATACACGAGTGTAGAACAGAACAAGATGAAAAGGTGATCTCAGAAAATGTTTAGCATCATCAAAAACAAACAAAATGAATCATTCACAAAATCGCTGCCAGTAATTTTTCTGTTGACAGCTTAATTGTTAATTGTCTCAGCTCTATGCACAGTACCTGTTTTGGTCATCTTCCATATCTGCATCAGGGATGGAAGTGGATTTGGATTCCCTAAGAAGAAAAATACAGACCATCTATAACAAATGGCATCGATCTATGTGACTGAATTAAGAAGATTTTTTTTTTTTTTTTTATTAAAAAAGCAATCCCAGTCATACTTACTGGTTGTCCACACTGCCTTTGCGCTTGCGGGGCATCTCCACACTCAAGGACATCCCAGCAGCTGAGGATGGGGTCATCACGCTGGGCAGAGAGACTGAACTGCTTTGGTTTTCCTCAACCAGCACATCCTCTGAATCACAGAAAACCCAATCAGCTGCAACTGGATTACAAATCTGCCAGATATCACTTTCTCAGAGATCAAAACTTGCCCACTCATGATCACAACGTTCTTATTAGGAGCTCATAAAGAGCCTTGAAGAGGCTTTTACTCAGACTGGATCTGTCACACCACTCCTCAAAATGATCCCATATCAGCATCTACATAGTAGCAGGAGAAGTGGTAACAGAACTGCTCAGGATAGGGAAATCTGAAATGATCATTTATCTCTGCACGTTACATTCTAATAAGACTGCAACAGATGGTTTTATTACAGCTTACTGATGATTTCTTAGAAGTGTTTAGACTACAAAAGTACTTGAATCATGTCAGACACCAAAACATATTAAACAACTTTGCTAAATTGTGAGCAGCCAAACAACCACTAGTATCCAATTTGCAATATGAAACCAGAGAAACAAGCTTCACACTGGACTGCAACCAAAATGCACAATATTTGTTTCTGACTGTTACAATTAACTGCTTATCAGAACAGCTGACAAATGCAGCATCCTCTCATGTACCACTTAAGAATTCAAATGCAGCATCCTCTCATGTACCACTGAGACTTAAGAATCTTCCAACCAAAAACTAGAGCAGGTGACCTTACTGATGAACCACAAACTAATCAATTAATCACTTAATCCTCTCAGTCTCACATCCTACAACTCAGCCCTGCTCCAACAATCCTTCCAACAGAAATCTGCAGCCTGTCACTGCCCGAATATTGTGGCCCCCTCACACATGTCTGTATTAGAACAGATGTGGGCATGTGTTAATAGACATACAGTAGCTAGAGCACCAAGCTGCTGTGGTGAAGCTGTTCTACTTCCCACTTCTCTATATCTCTCCAATTTATCACTTAATCTGGCAAAAAGTGGAGCTGCCATGCAGAAGTATGGGAGAGAAAGTTGAGAGAACAGCATGACACAGACCAAATGTAGCTGATATCCACACCTATTTTTAACTCTGCTCCACAGACCCCGTGTCCCAAATAGCCATTAACAAATCAACATTGCTGATTGTTATCAGGACAAACAATTAACAAAAACATACTTCGGTGGCAAATTAATTAATTAGTGGTCTTCGGATGTTGTTTTGGGAGAACACGAAAATTCTTCATTCTAACGTTATCATGTTTATATTTTTACATTAAGTAGTCTAAAACACCATGTATACAAGTTTTAATTCGATTTTGTGATTTTAAATCGGTCTTTATCTGATTGCAGTTATAAAAGAGGCTGCTAAATATGTTTCACCATGCAGACTACGATGTAAACAAGCAGTAGCTTGCTGCCTGCTTCGTCCTGTAAACATTAGCTAAACGGTTGAACTGTTCGGCCGCTGGTGCGAGCCACGATATAAGTTAGGCCTGAACCGCAGCGAGCACTGGCTAATGTTTGTTTTACACAGAGACACCAACTCTTTTGGAAACCGGGGACTGTCCGAGTATTCCAATATTCACAGGGACAAACTGTCCTGGCTGTAAAACCGCCTCTGACAGAAGTGGCTTCAGACAGCCGTCTTGGGAAACAGGCCGTGCTAGGCACAGCTAAGCTAATATTTGTGTGGCTAGTCGTAAAAGACTTTACACACAATAAATATAGTTTAGAAAAAAATAACGTTATCACTCATGACAAACCGGAATGAAGCCATATTCTGTCAAATACGTCGGGGATGTGACAAACAACAGGCAGTGTTATATAAATGGCGTAAACGGGGAGTTTGCCCTACTGATCTAGTGACCTAGTTTTAGAATAGCGCAAAGTTACGGTCAGCCGGTGAACAGTCGGACATCACAACGCTGCGCGCCTCTCTTTGGCAGTAAACCTCAACGCCGCACAAAGGTTGTACCTACCAATGTGAGCATTAAAGTTGATTTTAAAAGCTCCCGTAGCGTTTAACGTACCTGCCGGTTCGCCTCCCGCTCTGTCACCGCCGCCAGCCGAAGCATTCCTGGCCGACATGGCTGAAGCGGGAGCCAATGCACTGGGGCCCAGGACTCCAATGCATGGATGAGGCGGTCGACTACTCCGATATATTGTTTTAATTGGACAGGTTGTGAGAGAGCCAAAAAGAAAGTGGAGTATTGAATACGTGCCTTATTTTCTGGATGACGAAAAAAGCCGAAGGAATGAGGGCATAAACGTCAGCGCGCGGTGCAGTAGGCACAGTGTGGAGAACTGGGCAAACCAAGGTAAATAGGACGCAGTCTCCTCCTACCGGTTCACCGGAGCCACGGCTGTTGCTCCGCCCGCTCATGACCTATTAAGTCTCTGTGTCAGTGGCGGACATAGCCCATATTCTATCAAACTATTTAAACACGATTCACGAAAGGTGGATGGATTCACACTGAGTCGCATTAGCCTACTTTAGCCGCTACCATATGTATAACAAACATTTGTAATAAATGCTTTTATTTGTTTTATTCGTGTGTATGTATCTAGCCATTTTTAATTTGTGCACTTGTTTTAGTCTTTTCGTCCATTCAGCTGAGGTGTTGAGGGTCCATTTTAAAGGGAGAGCCAAACAAGAACAAGTCCAGGTAACAGATGTACCCACTACCCAGTGGATACCTGTAATCAGAGATGTCCTCAGATTTGCTTTTATGAAAATCTCATTTAAACACCTACCTACTGCATATATGCAAAACTCAGTGTTAAGATTGTCAACCAAAGTAAAGTGTAAAGCTGGAACAGAATAGACATGGAATTGAACAGAGAACGATGCAAGTCTTACTTCAGACAATGTTCTACCATTTTGTAAAAATAATGTCATCAACCTTTCTGCAGATATTTTCTCTTTTCCTACTGTATTCACTCTACCATTTATTTAAGGCAGTTAAAATTATCCACCTTTACCAGCTGCAACAGTAAAGCAATGTCCACAATGCATTATTAATTAATCCAGTAATATTATATACATCAATGTGAAAAATGTACCATTCTGCCTAATGCGTGTTTTTTCTTTGGGAACTTTAAATATATTTTGATGCCAATACTTTAGTATAGGTTCAAGCCTAACTTTGTGCAGCACTTATATGCCTCTTCATCACGCCTAAAGCCATACCTTCATAATGTGACTCGACTCTACATACAGTGGGTACGGAAAGTATTCAG